ATCAAGCCTAAGGGACAAATTTGAAGGTAATGTGGAAAGTGGGAACAAAGGAGAGTGCAAGAATCTTAAAATCTGAATTAAAGCTGTTTGGACGGGGATTAGTAGCTTCAGTGCCTGCTAACATTAACATAAATTTCCCATTGCTTTGGGGCAATCAGGCCCAGATGCCTGAAGCTTTCTCATAGTAATTCAGCTTTCTGAAAAATACTGAATGGGAAACTAAACCATTAGGAATTTGATGGCAAATAAAATGAATTCTTCAGTGTTCTTGACTTGCTTGTGTCTTACAACCATCATGGATATTATTCTTAGCCAATGGACTCAGATAATTCAATCTCCGACTCCCTTCCCGGGTAATGGGTAAAACAATAGCCACAATTTCTTGTAAGAAGTCAAAATAAAACAAAAATTATGCAACTCTGAGGACACTGAAGGACATACTTGACCTATCATTTTGCCTACAAAGAATGTATAGATATCCCTATTGAATACAAATTGTTTAACTTGAAAAAATAATTAATATAAGAGGAACTAGTAAAGGGCCTGATAATGTTTACTTGGTATTAAAAGTGCTGGATGACATGCCAATAAAGAGTTTTAACGGAGTATTTCTGTTAATAATCATTGCAACAGTTGCTCCTATCAGTAGAACCAGTCAACCCCAAAATAAAATGAAATCTACTATTTTAAAAATAGCTTGCTGCAAGATATTGCAAAAAGAAGTGCTGCTTAGCAATTAGAAAATACATTTTTTTTCTTATATAAAGAATATACATTACAAAGACAAGACACAGCTCTCAAACCTGTTAAAGTCATCTGAAAGACCTATATACAGCTCTTCAGACCTTACAATTTTGTATCAAAAAAATCAAAGAAAAGCAAGAGACTAATGCAGGAAATTACTGTATGCATGATACTAGGCAAAAATTTAAGAACATTTACTTTGATACAGCCTTCTATTCTGATAAATGTTTATTACCATTAACATGTTACGTCAATAATTATTTCTGCTTGGCAAGCTAAAGTACTTTCACAAAGAAAACGCATGGTATATAGGTTAAGCGATATCTTCAAGTCTCTTGAATGTTGTGCATGCCCACTCTGTTAGACTTTGCCCTCAGTGCTCGATAAATTAGCTGTCTTACATATTATTAGTCAAAGAATTAAAGAACATGAGCTCTGATTGTATTGATCGAAGCACTGTACGGCAGAGCTGACACCGAACTACATTACTTTAAGGAGATCCATCTGTCAAACATCTGGTGACTCCACCAGCTAGGGAGACAGACTTCCATAAGTTCCTCACACTTGCCAAACTTTGGAACACGAGTAATAAATATTCCCAATAAAAAGTGTCATTTCAAAGTGAAGCCAGTATTTTGTGCCACTAGAATTATTAAGGATGAGTGATGAATATGGGGACATACTTCTGTAACGATATTTTCGAGGGGAGTATGTCCCTTTTCTTCACATTCATGTAACTCATTAGCCTAGTTTGAATAAAATTCTGTTACTTAGATCAGATTTATGATAACAAAATGTTGAAGGAGCTTTGAGAGTAAGCAGCTACAGTATATATATACTCCAGATTCTTTCCCCCACTGCATGAAATCAGTTTCTTGATTTTCAGATATTATTTTATAGCCTTATTTTTTTCCCTTGAGCTCCAAGACCTAACACTAAGGGGCACCAGAGAACTGAACTGCATCTGTTCGGATCCATCAGGAACCAGCTGCGGCAACCAACGCTGTAAGTTATTCACCGTGCTAGGTGGAGAGGGAATGGGGCTTTGGGGGAAACAAAGCAGGCGGAACAACAGCTCTGCATGACACGTTCTCAGTGAGAGAAAACTGTCACTGGAAAAGCAAGGACGCGCTCATTTCAGGAATGCTGAACGTCTTATTATAGTTTATCACTAGGTGCTGAAAAAGAGCTCTCACTCTGTTTTTCCAGACAAAAGTTGGGGAATGTGTGAAAATATTGCATGACGTGAAAATGGATTTTTTTGGAGAAGCTGAGTATATGTAAAAAATCCTAGCAGATTGACTCTATTTCCTTTCATCTTAGACAAGTGTAAACAGAGGAGCACAGACTTAGGAATTCATTCTTATATTAAGTTTCGGATGAGGTCTGGATACCAGCATTTTTTCATTACCAATTCTTAAAATTCCACTAGGGAGATAAAGAACACTTCTTATTTCCCCGTGAATTGCAAAATTGCCTATTACCCTCTCATTTTCCTGACAGGACAACAGGAAAACAACATTAAAAAAAAAAAAAAAATCAAGCCTCTTCGCCGAGTGGGGACTCCAAAACCGACTTCCTTCACCCAGAGTTTGGCTGTCAAAGAGAATAATCATGCAGCCAGTGCCACATATCTTAATAGAGCACATTCGGAAAATCCCAGACTCGATGTCAGGAACCTGTTGCTTATCCCAGTTGGGTTTTTTTTTGTCCTGTATTGCTGTTTCAGTCCCTCTCTTCCACCACAAAATACCTAACCAACCAAGCAAAATATAACCACATAAATGGCACTACATGTTAGAGAAGTTAAGTTGTTCTGATTCCCTTTTAAAAGCTCGGTCACGGTCTTGTCCTAGAACAGACAGCATTACAAAAATGCAGATATGGTACAGGGCCCAGTATGTCAAATCATTGTAATCAAAGCTCCAAGACCAAAATTAATAATGTACCATTAGCAGATGGTGTGAGCTGATTGACTGAGAATTGCAAAGATGTATTCTGATTTGAGTACTGTAGACTTTTTCTTATAATATTGGCACTTATTTCTGTGTCTTTAAATAGTCTGTCAAGATAAAATCCACAGATAACTTCTGGTCGGTGTAGAATTTGACTCATAGATCTTTTAAGGCCAGATGAGACCATTATGATAATGTGCTTTGACCCCCAGCATAACACAGGGCATGGAACCTCGCTCAGCAATTCCTCCCTTGGGTCTGCGTCTTCTGTTTGAGGTATACCATCTCCTTTTGAAAGACATCCAGCCTTGATTTATTACTCAAAGTGACGGAAATTCCAGCACATTCCTTGGTAAGCTCACGCCTCGGTTAACGACAGCTGCAGTCAGAAAAGTTTTGTCCTCCTCTGATACGGTTTAGTTTTCAGATTTCTTCCCACCACACCTTTTGAAGCTGAATTAGAGAGTTGCCAGCGATCTACATCGGCTTGTAGACCATGGCTGTGTTTGTGAAGGAATCTTTCTTCAAACAAATAATGGGGAAAAGCCACCTTTTGGAATACACTGTGCACCTCATTCGAGGGCCATTAGCAGTTTTAAATGGTCCCTCACCCCCAGGATGGTGGAAGCCTCCGGCACAAGGAAAGGTAGGGCCTCTTATCCTTCCCCCGGTCCAATGGAGCAATTAAAATACAAGTCTTGGTTATGCTATGGCCAGATAGCATACCTGATGTCTCAAAAGGAAGACCTTGTAACTCCAGGTCTTCATCTGAGAATGTTCAACCTCTAGCTTGCACCTTCTCCTGCCTTGTGCGGGATCCAAGTTTTTCTGTTGCTGCTATGTTAAGGTGCGTCAGCAAGCAAGATGAAGGTAACTTAGGAGTGACCAAACAGTATATTTATTTAAGCAAGAGACCCTGCTGGTTGGGGCTGGAAGGCGGTGGGATCTCTGCTGTGGGTCTCAGTGGAGATCATCAGTGATTCACCACCCTCCTGGGAGAGTTAAGCCTCTCTCTCTCTCCAGGCAGTGACATCTAAAAGGGGAAATGCACAGACTGGCAGAATTCACCCAGCTCGTGTGCTGGACCAGGGTTTTGCAAAACTTCTCTTGGGAGAAGAGCTTGGGGTTTAAGGGCACTATGCTTTCCAGCTCTCTGATGGGCAGCGGTGTTCCGGCCGTTTACTGTGGGGCCAAAACCTGCCTAGAGTTTCATATGCCGTGTGTGATTTGCTGTGACGAGGATAGACCTCTCCAGCCACCATCCTGCGTGGACATGGTGTTTCAGGGCCACAAAGGGAAGGAGACCCTGAAGGAGGGTGGTACCAAGCAGTCCCTTTGGTGAGACGAGTAGAAAGAGTTGCACTGAGGAAGCCCTTTGGAGGGGCCATGTGGTCCCCAGTGCCTCTCCCACCTCCTCCTCCTCCTCCTCCTCCTCCTCCTCAGGCAGGAGGAGGCAGAGTTCGCTGCTGCTGCCAATGCGCCAGGGTAGAGAGATCTCGGCGCGGGAGGAGATGACGCAAAAGGCAGAGCTCCCCCCAAAAAAGTGTTTCTCCAGGACGAAGATGGCGGCAACTTAGCCCAGGGGCCCAAGATGCCTGTGCCCATCGGGGGCCCCCAGCCAGGCAGTTCCGCCCCGTGCGCCCGGGGACACC